CTGGGTCGTGAGGAACCAATGCCTCAGGTACGTAAAAATCTTTAAGTTTACAGTAATATTAAAAAATCTGTCATTGGTTATGCTAGGAGGATGCTAGGGAATCAAATAAAATTTTAAATACTGGTAAACAGAGAAAAAGCATCAAGCCTTTTTCTCACATTGTCAGTATGAACTGTACTCAGGACAAACAAAAACTGATGAGAAAGTTTCTCTTTATCTTTGAGCTAATAAATGAGGAAGGAAAGACAGACTTAGATGCCACCATTCTGCAGTCCCTGATCCCTCGGACGGTCGAGGCAGTGCTCACCAACCACCGGCCCCACAGGGACAACCAGACACGACACACCTCCGACGGACACGCACACCGTGTGAGATGATCTTGTCAAAGACTCACCTTGCATCTCATCAAGCGTCTAGATCTAATCTCCAATTTATAAAACAAATTAGAGAAACTGTTAAATTATATCAGAGGATGCAATTAGCAAACTCCAGGCTGTAAAAAAATGCCACATGTTAAACAACCTGTTTTTTTCTACAAATTACAATCCAAAAAGGGAAAGAAAAGAGAAAAGAAAGAGCCTCCAGCTTTAAAATGTCTATACCAACTAATTCCAATGCTTGAACCTTAGTTGCACCCCAACTTCAGAAAAACTGTTTAAAAAATTGCAATATTTGAACACTGCTGGATAAAGAATTGATGTTAATTATTTTTAAAAGTGACAATGAATTGTTACTATGTTGTAAAGTAATCTTCATCTTTTACAGATATTTTCTGACATATTTAGGTGATATGAAGTAAATAGGAAATGCGATTTCCTTCCAAATAGCCAGCAGTGATGGAGGTAAGACCACATATGATATGAAATCAGCTGTGAGCTGACAATGGTGAGATTATAGTATTCTATTTTTGTATATGCTCAGACATTTCTGCAAGATAAAATTTCCATAACAGAGTTAAAACAACTCCCAATCTTTGATGACAGCTCTCAGATAATTTTTCATATTATCAAAATTTTTACAGTATCGTATATGGCCGTGGATTTGGTACAGGTGATGTTAGGCCCTGTTTACCCACGGGTTCTCTTCAGACAGAATGACTGACTGGTATAGCGATTTTCTAAAGAAACTACAGTTGTATAATAAGATCATCACATCGAACAGGATGTGTTACCACAAATTAAGGTTTCATGAGAGGGCATGGTAAAAATACCAACGCTCTTAACATCTTAAAACCGTTTTGCTCAAAGTTCCCATTCCCCTTGCCTCTTTCACCAAATACCCCTCCCCACACATACACATCCACCTACCCACCCACACCCACAACTTTTGCCTGTCTCCACCACCATTTTTATAACCCCCTTTTGGAGAATTATTAATACATGGATGAGGGAGAATCTCCATCAGCCAAGATGCTGTTCAACTCTACCCTCTAAAGTCAGTAATGTGAAAGTTTGGTATTATTACATTAAAATACTAAGATTGCTTTCACAAATATCAAACATCCTCTCCCTTGGGAGTCATTTTCCTAGAAGAGTGCTTCTCAAACTTCAGCAACGTCAGTATTCCCCAGAGGGCGTAACAACGCAGATTGCTGGATGCGACTTTCAGAGTGTCTGACTGAGGTCTGGTTTGAGGCTTGAAAATTTGCATTTTTAACAAGTTCCCAGGTATTACTACTGATGGTGCAAGTCTGGGGTCCACACTTGAAAATTATTATCCAAACATTCCTGAAAAATTACATATCCCCTGCGTCCTCCCACCACTTCTTCCTCTGAAGAACAAAGTCCCCTGACACTTTCTACACAAAAGTGCATGATTACCCTTTCTCTGATTTATATTTATCCCTGTGAACTCTCTGATGCCTTCACTGGATAGTTACTATATAACATACAGAAATGTTCCTTATCAGGTAGGGAGAAGCTTTCTGGCTTCCATCATCCCTAAAACTAATCAGGCTCATGTGCCCCTCATTCCCATTCTTCTCTCTGATCTCCCACTTCTACAAGATGTTGCCAGATGCAGTTCCCGCTGGAATACGATTCCTCCGAGGACACTAACCTCTTGACTATATCATAGCTCTCCTTTTTCATCATGTTCTGGGATCTGTCCATCATTAATTTGAAAATAACAAGGCCTGGTTTCTTTTAATATTTATAGAATTCAAAGTTCTGCCACAGGCTAGGCGTTCAACCCATTTTTTGCCAAATGAAATATCCCAATCACAGAGTCTTAGAGACAACCGAGGTTCAGGGACCAAAGTGATACACAAAAGGTCACAAAGGCCGTCAGCGCAGATGCAAGAATTCCGTAACGCCGACCCCACGAGTTTCACGGCCTGTGCGTCCTACCTGGTCTGTGGTACCTCTCGGCAGTGCATCCGAAGGGGTCAGCAGGGCCTCCAGCGAGACGAAGTAAGTCCAGTGGAGCACAGGGTCAATTACTTACAGAACAATCATAAGTTCTCAGCCAGGAGGTGAATTTACCGTAGGAAATACTTTTTTTAACAATATTTTGTTTTGGATGCTTTGACCTTTCCAGGTTTCCTGACAAAGTGTGCGGGAAGGTCATGTTCTAGAAAGACTCAGGAAAAGCCTAGAAAACTCAGAAAGGTAGACATTCTGCTGAGATTGGTTCTCCAGCACTGAGCAGAGTAACTGAGCAGAGAAATTTAGCCCCTTTCGCCGTTCACACCACATGCACTGCATGTTCACGGCTAAAATAATTAACAAAATCAGAACTGTTTGAACCAGGTCATCCTAAGAGACTGCCCTGTCTAGATGCAACTGGACTTGGAGGAAATGGAAAACAACCCCGTAGTAAACTTTACTACATTCCAGGAATAATATTAGGGAGTTTACATACTCAATGTATTCCCTTCAACAATCCTATGAAATAGACATTATTATTCCCATTTAACGGATTAAAGCTCAGAAAAGTCACACACCTAGGGTGAACTGACAAGTTCAGACACAAGTCCGGTTTGTCTGACCCCAGGCAATGCCTCATCCACAGAGTTAAACTGATTTTTTCATTCAATAGTTCCAGCACCTCTATTAGGGCTTGAAGAGCTCAAAATGTCTACGACATGGTTACGACCTCTATCTACTCCCAAATCCTATAAAATGGAAGCTGTTCTCTTCTTTCCTAATTTATTAGGGTTCAGATCATTAGCAAAACATTTCTAACATCAGGCCAAATTCATTAAAGAAGGCTTTTAACCTTTTAAACCCTGAGTTTGACCTATCTTTAAAAGTTGACAAATAATGAAGCGTAAAGTTATGTTCATTAATTTATATGTAGTCACAAATGCTGATAAAAGACTTGCCTGATATTTCCCTTAATGTAAATACCCAAATCAGTATTCTGACCCTTTGGCCTCCTGCACGCTGTCACGATTCCCGGAGGCTTGGAAGGGCCAGCAGTGAGCTGACCTTGATCCTCGGCTCAGTGAGGGCTTTTGGGCCGTCCGGGCTCAGCGCAGAGCTGGCGGTAGACTGATGAGAACCCCCTTTCCCAAGCTGGAGGGAGAGGAGAGCAGAGACGGCTGCCCCATGGAATTTACACAGTAACATTACTATTAAGGAACTAATACAAGGGCACTACTACTTTTCCTCACTTATGTATTATTGATGGTGATGCTTTAAAGCACCAACCACCCTTTTCAACAGGCGCACACGAGGGAGTGAAAGCAGGCGGCGACTCCGGAGTCACCTTTGCCCACTGCCGCCCTTTGCTGTGAAGTCATTTTCACGGTGGCAACTTAATAATCAACCTTGTAAGACACACTGTGCGGGCAAACAAAAATTGGCCAACTTCCTTTAAAAATTCCTCAAGTAACACATCAAAAGCTAAATCTCTAGCAATATAATTACATTGCTGGATTATACTGGCCATCCATCCCAAACCCAAGTGCGATTTATTTTTTTTAAACAATAGTGAACACTAATGGTTACGGTTATCAAGTTTTAGTGGTCGGCCCTGGTTGAGCAGGGCGACACACTTGGCGGGGTTCTGACAAAGGCTAGTCCACATCATTCCATTAGCAGGTGGACTGCGGTGCACACGGACTCCTCATGTGAGCTGGTCGAGGCCACGAGAGGTGTCACTCATGTTTGGGTGCCGGAGTCCATCACAACAGTACGTGACAATACAGATAAAGTGCCCTCTTTGTCACTACTCTCAAAGTCAACTTAGCATGCCTTTGTGATTCCCTTCGAGGGTAGAGATGATACATACATCAAAACAATTTTGGAACGATATGGCCAGATAAGTAGCACATCTTTGTTCCGTATGTGGAGTTGTCGCTGCATACCTCTTGTTGGAGCACGTGACAACTGTGTTGGAGAAAGGACGCCAAGTGATGCTTAGAAATGTGATACACATTTTCATTTCACACTCCATCAGCTTTTACAACTGTAGCTCAGTGAAATGTAAGAGAGAGCTTGGCAAACAGCCATATTTACCAAGGTATAAAATAGGGGTTAGGTTATTTTTTTTTTGAAAGGAAAAGAATGCTTAATTTTCACTCCCTACGACTAAAGCAGATATCCGGCTAACACCCGGAGAAAGGCATCATGACCACATCTACTGACATGGTTTAGTGCCTGTTTAACTGGAGGTTTTCTCTATATTATAAACAGCTTCGTAAAGTAAGAAAACATTCCCTCCCTTGGCTTCTTCCCCACGGGGTCTGCTGCCACAGATCCATCCTGGACCAGACGGTCTCCAGTATTAATCTCTCACCTGAAAGTCCTGGCTGCTGCCCTCTGCTTCTAGCCTAGATGCAGGAACAGCTTATTCCCGGTGCAGGCGGAGAAGCAAAGCTAAAGGCATCAGCAAAAATGCATCTTTCTAATTTGGGTTTCAGCCTGTCAGAAAGCACTGAAGCCTCACACAGACCCAGGAAGGGACCCTGAATGGTGACAGAAGCATGTCTGGGTCCCTGTGCCCCCACAGCCGCTGCCTGCTGGCAGGGCAGAGAGGAGCCATCCCAGACTCACCTCCGTTAAGCCCGAGACTTCCCCTCTTGCCAGCGGGCTGCTGATGGAAGGCGTGTATACTTTGGCGTCGGACACTGGCTGCCCTTTCATGAAGTGTTTTCCTGATTCGTAAATGTCCACTTCGACCATTTTCCCCATGAATGTGGGGTTCTTGGGCACTAGAACCTTTAAAAAAATTTCAAAAGCTTAATTTTTAAAACCAGCCCTTCATTTTAGAACAGGTTTTGATTTACAGAATTATTGTAAAGATAGCACAGACACTTTCTATATAATATACTTCCACTGTAGGTCCAGATGCCCCATTATTAACATCCTGCATTAGCAGAACACATGCATCACAATTACTGATGTATTACTGTTAACTCAAGACCATGCTTTTCTCTGACTTCCTCAGTTGTCCCCTAATGTCCTTTTCCTGTTCTGGGATCCCATCCTAAGTGGGCTCTATCTGCCAGCTGACAATGGATCTGGGATCTGGTAGGATGGGAGGGCATTTTCTGGGAGGAGTGGAAGCCCTGCTCTTCGGCTGCAGGATGCCTGGTGTCCCAAGGCATGTGGAAGGCAGACCTGGAAGACCCCCGGTATCGGCCAGCCCGTGACTTCTGGACAGGCCTCTGACGTCTGCTCTTGGCTGTCCCAGGCAATGAAGAAAATGGAGACAACACTGATGGAAGCTTTGTACTTTTAATACCTTCCTCATTAGCGGTCAGAGCAGTGGTTTGAGATGACACTTCAAATAAAGGCCTTCATGGTGTGTGTGTGTGTGTGTGTGTGTGTGTGTGTGTGTGTGTGTGTGTGTACATGCTGATGTGTGAGCATGGGTTTTGGGAGAAGAGAAGAACATTTAAAAGCAACATTTTCAATATCCCAAACGTTGGTGTGTGGACCTAAGTGGCCCCTTTACCTAATGGCTGCCATTCATCTCTTGAGCTCTGTTACAAAATGCATGTATTTGTTAGCTCTACATCCATATAGAATCAGCTACTTTGAAGGGGACTCTAGCCAGTTTACAGGAAACTGTCAGTTGGTCTCCTTCCACTGGAGATTTCTGATTTGAGCATCAGTTTACCTGGAGCGAACGTTTCCCCTCCTTTGGGACTGACAGACAGACCGTGTGCATGCGTTCTGTCTCCCTCACGCTTCTATTTCAGTCCTGTAGCTATCTGCCCATCTTTTCAAGTCAGGATCCAAAATAAATAGACTAATTCTAATCCAGAAATACTTTGATATCAAGATACAATTTCACTTCTGGAACTCATCTTATTTAAAAATAATTTCTATATGAAATCTTTGATATACTTAGTCGTAGAGACAAAACATCAGATGCAAGCCAGCCACTAGTTCTACAGCCAATTTCTCTGAGAGGCAAAACTGGATTGTGGTCTTTCTGAGCTTGATTTCTTATGACCACTGAATACGCTCCATCCAAGTATAGGAAAAAGGTCACCTGGGTGGTGAATTACTCACGGCACGGTAAGACCTTTGGTATGAGGATATGAAAGCCCTTTCAAATCAGTTTTTATAAAACAAGAAAATCTCTAGAGTAAACTATCCCTGGGAGATTTGGTACTACGGAGGAAAATAACTCTGTGATCTGCTGCCCTGATCTCAATGAAAGGCTTAGTGTCGCCTCCCCCTCCGGTTTTAATAATTGGAAAAAGTCTGACTGCTTTAAATTGGAGGAAACAGCTCATGAGGCATGCCACTGCCTTTAACATGAAGGGAGAAGTCCCCTGCTGGGGCAGAAACCAGATGGCAGGAGAAAGAAGGGAGAGAGGCGACCGCAATCAGTCCAGCCCGTGCCCAGAGCCGCACAGAAGGCTGGCCTGGTAGGAGGCGGCTCTCTGGAGTCAGTCATCAGTCAGTGGGCTGGGAGACGGGACCCTCGGCTCAAACACAGTGCTGGGCACCCCTCCTCAGCCTGCAGGTAAGGGACGGGGCAGGCTTCTCTGGGCTTGAGATGCTCCCCCCAAGTCTCCTGAGGACCCGGGCCCAGCCTAAGAGTGGTCCCTGGGGAACCCCAGTGCCGGGGGCCCCCTCAGAAGCTGCTTCCCTGCCCGGCCCTTAGCTGACTCACCCACACTGGCCTTGAGAGCCTTCATGAGCTCGAATTCCAGCCAAGGCGCCCACAAAAAATGTCCACTTCCCATTTGATGAAAAAGGAATGAAAGACTAGGGAAACCCATTTGATATTAAGTTACTGTAATCTAGGAATGACCCATGGAATCCCTGTGTCCCACAAGAGTCTCCCTTTCAGGTGGCACATTCCACATCCTCAGCCGGTTCCAGGGTCAGTGCCCGGAGGGAGGCATGGTTTTCTTCAGCCACTTTGTTCCGGCACCTAGGGAAGTGGAATCCCAAATGCTGAAACGGCCATCTGGCAGCTGGGGGGGGGTAAGGCAGGCTGGATACCCGGGCAGCTCGGAAGAGGGGTGCCCTTCGGGTTGCCTCAGGAAAGCCTCAGAGTGAGGGGGTTTTGATCCTTACTCGCCCTGGTCTCCAGAGTTGTCCACACAGTTTCAGTTGAGTCCAAGGAGCTGATGTTTCCCTTTTTCCCCAATATTTTTATCAAAGAGGAAGTTAAGAAAAAAAAAATACTGAAACTAAAGAAAACGAAAAGAACAATGGAGCGCCCACTCAGCCACCTGCTGAGTGCTGTGACTGTCCACTCCGATGCCACCCCCACAGACGTTGCTCCTGCTCTCTGGCAGGCCTTCGCCCGGTCCTGTGCCAGCCGGTGGGAATCCAGGCAGCGGTAACTGCCCGTTCCGAACCCCCAGAAGCCTAAGGCTGGTCCTGTGGAAGATTAATGAGGACTGAAACACACCTGTTCTTTGTGCGCAACGTTCTGTGGACGAAGCCACAAGAGAAGCTCCACGTTGGCCTGGCTGGCTACACGCTACAAAACAGCTTGGCTGCAATGACATTCTACAACCCTCCCCTCTTTCTAAGTCTCTTTTGTTTAAATTGATTTATTATCTCATTTTGGAGAAAACTGGAGAATACAGAAGTGCCTCTTACCTGCTCATAGAATCGATTGTGTGCAACATAAAACTTGGAATCAAAAGATTCTTCTGTTACTAACACTTGTTGTCTTTCACCAATCTGCACGGAAAAGGGGAGAAAAAAAGGAAAGATCAGGGCAAACACCTGAGAATCCAAAATAAATGGCAGCTTCTGAAGAGTTCTGGACCAGTAAGTCATGTCTTCTTGAATTTAAAAGACACTAATGGGAAACTGGTGAACCACTGTTTTGAAACAAACGTAAGAGTGTATGTCAACAATAAAATTAAAAAAAAATAAAATAAAATAGACTCTAGATTGCTAATCACTTAATAGCTGATACAGAATCACTGATTGATATTCCCTGAAAGATATTATTATCCATGTAGCAATAGAAAATTAGCATAGGATGAAATCTTATTTTCCTACTTAACTATGAAACAAAACTTGATCTTACTTCCTCCTTCAACATAAGTAAGATAATTAAGGCTTCTAAGACATACAAAAATCTTCTAAATATCACTTTATTTCTTGAAACAAAGTTGCAGAAGATGCCAGAACAAGCTGCTTCTAATCCAAATTCATGAAAATATTTTGGCAATATGAAAGAGTAGTAATAAACATCAACTTGAGTTATGAGGGATGTACACTAAAGAAAATGCCTCAAAAGCTAGTCATTAAATCCTTGCACTTAAACATTTCACATGTTGCATATGATTCAGAAATAACTGATTCCATCACACAGCTATTTACTCATTACATACATTTCCTGTCACAGGCAACTGTTTTTCTTTGTTGCAGCCATGACCCCATGTTGATTTGTTGTTTTTTTTTTGAAGAGAAAGCAAAAATATGGGAATGTTAATTCTCTACAGAATCAATCCACATTCATGATCTAAGTATGCATTTTTAATAACCAAAAAGTTAAATCAGCCAAAACACTGGTTAAAGAAATGTGACCATTCTAAAAAAAAAATTCTATCATTCCCAAGTTTATTCCACTGTGAAATGCAATACTTAAAGTATCAATTACTTTTCTTTTTTTTGTAAGGTTGTCAAAATGTCTTATGTAGTGAGCCAGCTGTATTGAATGACTGTGCCTGGAATTATTTTTGCCATTACAACTTGATAAATACACCCTCCACATTAAGGCACACTGGCCAAAAACATTTTTTTAAAGAATTCCCTATTCTCTTGTATGTAGGGACTTGTCCCCAAGTTCAGGCAGCTACCATTCAGGAAACATAAACACAGCTGCACTGAAGAGACTACCTAACAATTAAAAAAAAGACAAAACCCCACCAAACCCCACTCCCCACCAAACAATGCCAACACCTAATACACCATAATCCATTAGCTTTTACTATCTCATCAAAATGCATCTCCCTAGCCAAAGACTGTAAGGTCTCCAGGATGACACTTATTGAAGACTTATTCACTCCCAGAAAACCAAGGGAAGCTCCTGCAACATTAATCTCTTTTAAAAATCATGTATCAGCAAAATAAAGTTTTCCCAATCTCTATTTGAGCATTAATGGCTCTGTTTATTACAAAAGACTGATGAATACTGGGCTTCACTGAAGTATATTCTACTGGAAGAAAGCTTAAATGTTTGCACACATTTCAGTGTGAGCCACTTATAACTTAGGGTAAGTATCTGTCAACAGTTCTTTCGGAAATCTGCAATTACACTTCATGTACCACTACATTTCCAGGGAATCAGCCTAACAACAATACGAGACTGGAGAGCCATGGAAATGTAGGCTGCTGCTTCCCTCTGAATTAATGCAGCTGTAGTCATCGTTTTGCGGCTGCTTTATTTTACCTGGAGGTAATAGTGATGACAGTAATACATACACACAGAATTAGAAAGACTGCTATGTTTATAGAATAGGGGGCCAGGCTTTCCAACACCTATCAGAGAACTATTTGTAGGTGAGTATCGAACTATTATTGGCCAAAGCAATTCAGGAAAACTGCTATGTGCAGTAATTTACCACCTAACAGCTGGATTACTGACTGGAATGCAAGGTTATGTTGCAGGCTTAAGGCAAGCCCTCAGCCGGAGAGGTTAACTGGAGCACTGCTTGTGTATTTTAAAAAATGAAGGAACTCCTGTGAATATATAAGAGGTTGGAAATAATGCTTTCACAAACTTTGTGACTGGTAGCACGCTGCGGCTGTTCAGTAGAGATGATTCAACGCAAGTGCAAGGGAAAACCCAAGGAATGGTGGCCTCAAGGCATCTGGAACATTCAAGGGCGGGAAGGGAGGGGAGGGCGATTTGGAGGGAGAAGCAGCAAGCGTAGTTCAGTGGAGTGTCAGGAGTGCGAAGGAGGCCAGCAGACGGAGATGCCGACTGCCGCACCCAGGGGCGGTGGGGTTGGGGGGCGCACACCAGGGCTGCGGAAATCACCTGCGCGATGAAAGGGATCGGACTACATCTTGGGCCTTCACTCTCTTCATCAAAAAAAAAGGGGTTTGGTAGAAGTGAGACGGAGGTAGGGTGAGGACTGCTGGGCTGAAGAAGAAGTGGATTATAACACTTGAGAGGATTTTCCAGTTTCAAAATTCAAGGTCACGGTTCCTGGCAAATCTGCAGTTAGCGATTGGTATGCCCACAGGTTTCAGATGAAGGGCATACGTGCTATAAATCCAGGCTCTCTTTTCTTATAGTGAATATATGCTTGGAGCCCTCTGCAAATTCAGCTGCTTTCTTGCTGCCTTTAAAGTAATAACATGATCTTTAATACCACCAAAGGAACATTACAGAGTCTCTCAAAAAGCTAGGCACTGGCCTGAACTTGAGGAAGCCTGTCAAATTCTCCCCCAAACACCCCACTTCTTCACAATCTTATGAAAGACATCCCTTTTCCCTCTGATTTGCTTTATAGGCATGAAATGTATAGTTGATTAAATAAAATGCTTAATTCCTAAACATTTTGGAGTTTAAGACCTTGGGATGGGAAAAGCATTTCTATGGGAAACTCAGTTCCTACTTACAAAGTTTGACCTTCAGGAGATTTGTCAGGACTTCTGAAAGTGGCTGTCTGCCTGGTGCCTGTTTTAACAAGCTAGGCAGACTTCGTAATCTATTCATCAAATGTCCCTGGAGAAAGTAACTTTTCCTGGGATGTGCAGAACTTCAGTTAGTCCCTTCTACTATGACTCTAAGAAGATATTTTATGAAAAACGAATTAAAAAATAGCCTTGTAAAGCCACCCTTTCATTACGTACTGGGTCACTGACGTGAGGGAAGGCACAGAACTGCCCCACAGATCCTGCAGTGCTGGTGGCCTCAGTGCTGGGGCCACAGCGTGGCTGAGGAAGGAGTATGGCTCAGTTTTCTAGGCCTTGTGGAAGAGATGTGAGAAAAGCTCTTGTAGGATTTTTTTTTTTTGAAACACAAAGGAAAATAAAGGCAATATTCCCCTGAACGGAACAAGAAGGCAGGGACCTCAAGAGGGCTTAGCGATCTGATTCCACAGAGGACACGGAGGTCCTGCGGATGCGGCAGCTTGCACAGGGGTGGGGGTCAGAGCAGAAAAGGAAGTTGTGGGACCACTCCTGCCACGTGAGCCTCCTGTTCAACTGCGGAGGAAAACCTACCACCTCACGGCTCTCGCTGCAGAATGCAACTCTTCCTTGAGGAGAGAAACATCTGTGACAACAAAAGGCAATGTTTAAAATTCAATTTTGGGGTAGATTTTTCAGTATGTTACATAACCAGCTAGCTGTGTTATTTGTGTCACATCTACGCTGAAAATTTCCCAAGTGTCTGAAGTTGTGAGAAACATCAGCGCTAACCATATGGCCACATCACACACAGAAACACGCCCTTGCATTAAAAAAGCAGTGGTTTCCAACAGGATTTGGTTGCTGAATGCTCATCCCAATGCACTCTACTTTTCCATTTGTCCTAAAAGACAACATTTGGTGTGACTATATAAGGACTTACTAAGAGAAACTAAACAAATTGGTGTGAGACAGGCAGACAACACCAAACGAACCACAGACGTCGGATCATGTGGGTGTTTGCCTTTAACCCCAGTAAGAAAACCACTTGTCTAAGTACCCCTTGGACTAGGAGAAAAAAAAGATTTCTCTTAAACTCACATATGGCTTTAAATATAAACTGTACGTGAAGTCTACTTTCTCTCTACGAGTGTTTTTTTTACCCCCTACCTCATTTTTGTTTTAGTTAAGCAGAGAACCTGAGCTTCAGAAAATAATTTCAATTCAATTTCTATAGTTGGGTTAGAGAGATTTCAATATTTCAATGGAGCTGCTCAGAATATTCACAAAGGGCAGATACATATTTGAGGACTGGCATAGAGAAATACTTACATCTTGGAAACGGTTACTAAAAGGTAAAGAAATTATTTTGCTTCCCCTGAAAAGTTTCTAGCAGTTAATTTTCCTGTCCAATTGCCTCAGGAAAAACATGGAGATTAAAACACACATATCAAAAGCTCTCATAATTATTGACATCATGTCCCAAATAAACTTGAATTTTATCTGTTTATCCTATAAAATATTCTGACATGCTACTTTTGCAGCAAGTTTTTTCTTTCTTTCTTTTTTATTGAGGATAATAAAATACAGTTTTTCTACCTGACTGGTTTCTGAATGCATGACTCTGGGAAATGTCAAATGTCTTCCTTTAGCTCCTGTCAAATTAGTTTTTTTTTTTTTAAGCTGCCTGGAACATGTTAAACACAAGGCTGTGACCTTAAACTCTGAAATAATATTCCTACTGTCTGTGCAAAAGCCTGCCCTCACACACACCTTTAGACTAATTACTGCAGTGTAATGCTGCCAGCGCACCCCTGTAATTACACTTGGAGAAAAGTAGGGTCTTGTTCTTTCCTAGCTAATGAAAATGATAACCTTTCCATTTTGATTCATCATTCACAACAGGCAGAGCACGCGATGCTGGGCCTCCAGGGTATACGGTAATTTCCCCGATTGTTTATGCACACTTCTGTTTCCTGGCCCTGCAGAAGCTGGAATTAAAGAACCAGGCATACTAATGCTAAAAACAGTCAACAGTAATAATAGCAATAACATTAACATTTAATATCATCCTTCCTTCACAGTAC